GAGGATGTCACATTGAGCCAGCTTTCTTTAAAAACTTTTCTAATTATCAGAATCACTTTCATAAAATTAGCTAGACGAGGTCCAAAAACTATTTTTAAATCTCAAAAGCTCATTTAAAATTTTTAAAAGTCATGCCAAACGATTGTATAATTCCTTAAATTATTTTTTATTTATATTTTTGTGAATTTTATTTTTTGTTTTTATTTATATATAATTTAAATAAAATAAACTTGCTTGGTTTAGATCCATTCAGAGGGAACAAAAAATTTCGTGTTATTATTTTAAGTCTGTCTTGATGAACATTTCAAAATTTTATTTTGTCCATATCCTTGTCCCCATAAGAAACAAGAATAATGCTGTGCCCCGCACGTATGAGAGAGAAGAGACGGATATGGCTCGCAAACCAAGTTGGCGTGTTTTTCGTTCATAATCCTCAAATCTATTTAATCCAACAATCTTGGATTGATAGATACGTTTGTCAATAAACACACAAGGAGTGGAAGTGAGTACGATGGCGGGTGAAAGCCAATGCAGGGGAGAATATATGGGATCCCAAAAAAATTCAACTTCGCAGAAATATTCTCGTTCCATGTCGATCACAGGAAAGTTGCTTATTTCTAATTGAACTTCTGTGGCTGTTATATCATTTTAATTGTGTTTGTCTGGTTCTTGTAGAAAAAGAAATTTTAATTCATTATTTCAAATTGTGTATTTTGATGGGTGTGGTGATTTCTATGTTGTTCATAAATTTTTGATGGATTTGATAGAAAGGAGTGCATTGCAGATGAATGTGGTTGTAATGGGCTTATCAATTATCACAAGCATGGACTTTGAACAGGCTTCCCTTTTTAGGGTATCAGTTTATCCAAATTTAAACCCATTTTACAAAGTTTTTCAGCAAGAATATAGAGAACTAAGGAAAAGCTAAGCTCTAAAGATTGGTATTTCGAACCACAGCGGGTAGAAGGTGAAGCTTCTTTCTTTAATTTGAGTTTTGACATACAAGCTTCTTGTGCCAGAGACTGCAAATATTGAGGAGGGTTAGAAAGATGGTGTCTTGTTTAAATAGTTAAGCCATGAGGGCAGAGACGAGAAGCTAAAAGGTTTAAATGGGCTTGAAATCATCTCCAAGTGAATAAACTGAAAAGTTTAATTTGATATCCTTTTCTAATTTTTCTGGTTAAGAGAAGGTGGTTATTCTTTCTTTTCATGGAGCTGGATTTGCTTGCATAGGCTCTATGTTCTCATTTATGAAGGCTTTACCCATTTACATAATAAATCTTGGCTCTGACGTGCAGTCATGACTCATGGACTACGTTCTTGCGGAGAATTTTTTAATTCTTCCCAGAATTTGAAGAATAAAAAGTCACAAAGATAATGACTAGTGCCCTATGATGGTGAAATTGCGAGTGGATTCACACACTTAATTATAATGAATATTTTTCACTTTAAAGTTAGCAAATCATGTGTGACTGCAGCCTTCAAAAGTTTTCTTTGGTATCTATATAAAAAATTCTCTTTGTTCACTAACTTGTAAAATAGCTTCTAGTTGACTTGTTGGAACATGTGATGGAGTAGTGGGTACTCGAGGGTATGAGGGACTTACGAAACCAGAAGAATGCTCTCTCTCAATTTTATGGTCTCTTCATTATTTCCTATTCTGATTATGATTTTGTTAAATAATCATTTCAAAGATCGATCCAAAAGGTGAATAAATTCTTTTAATTTCATCATTAATCGTGTGACAATTACTTTACCAGTGCTATAGACCATACCTATAAAGGTTGGAAATAGCAAAACAACTCCAGTAGGGAGAATAATGCTTATCTTCTTCTTCCATTATTGTTTCCATACTCCATTTCAAATAACTGCACGTGTGTGAGAGTGGGAGAATGCTGTTGGTTTTTAGATACGTTTGTCATTATGTTCTTAGATAGTTGTTGCTTCTCATATGCGGTCAAAATGGAGAATTCCTGCAGTACCTAGTTTCATCTTCACATATTTTTGGAAAACAGCTTTATTTTTCTCTAATCTAATATCATTCGTCCTTGGCAAGAACGAGGAATAATAAATTTGACTTCTAAAAGCTTGGCAATTTTTTATTTTATTTTTTATAGATATGATTGTAATAAAGGAACAAGATAATGATGAATGAAGTTAGCATTAAGCAGGTTCAACAGGGAATACTTAAGAGATACAATTGAGTCTCTTGTATACAACCAAGTACAAACCCTCCAACTCGCCCAAACAAAAACACCAAAACAGGAGGTGTAAACGGGTAAAGTTGATGCAAGTCTTTATAGAAATTCTGCAATGCTGTCCAACGTTCAGGTTTTTCCCCAAGGTTCTTCTGGGGGAACATTAACATTCTATGCATATGGCCCAAAAGAAAATGTCATGGTGCATCCCTGCTGCAATCTAATTTTAGGAAAAATAAAATGTATTCAGATTTTACTTCTAATAAAGGAGTCTTATTTATGTTCCCTTCAGCTGTAACATTCTTTACTTCTGCAGGACTCCATGCAAAGCATCAGCAAGAGCTAGAAAATTTGATGCTGACGACCCAACCTACAAAAACATTAAAGCTATTCATTCTAGCTGTCATACAATATGTCAGGCGATCAATATCATACGTTTTGTCACACAGTGGCAGGCTTATGCTTTTGAGTTCCATTGTTATTTTAGCGGTGGTACTTCTTGTGACTATTGATGGTCCTCATGAGAAGGTAATTGAAATTCTCTATTTGTTAAGTTTTTTAGCTTGGCCAAGTAAGCAAATGGAAACTTATTGATATCATTGGGTTGGAATTATAAATTCACATTACTCTCTAGGATGACCCCTGTTATATCAGTTTGTTGGTTGATTTTGTCTATTCTATTGAAATTCAAGGCTCCATATTTTTATTTCAGGAGAGGAAAATATTTTTTATTGGTTGTCCATCTCTGATTCCAATTTCTTGCTTTATTTTGTGATGACGTATTTGATGCATCTTAGATTATTGTTCATAATGGCTATATGTCATTCTTATGTTTGTGCAGCATGTTGAGGAAGTTCTACATTATATACAGTTCGGATTATGGTGGGTGGCTCTTGGTGTTGCATCTTCCGTTGGTCTCGGTAAGCAAATCAATTATAGACAAACATTTTCCTAGAAATTCCTCGTTAAAACGATAGATTACTTTTAGGCATCTTCATAGTGGATGATAAAATCTTTGTGCCTGACATTATTATGAGTGATTTTAAATTATTTTCTGCTGAAGATGCATCAAGATATCTCATTCGGAAATCAGTCCCATAATTTTTTTGGAAGTATCTATCTACATTGAAATGCCTTTACTGAATTTTTTTGAACTTATTTTGGTGTTTCACTACTTGCAGGCTCTGGGCTGCACACATTTGTGCTCTATCTGGGACCCCATATTGCGTTATTCACTATAAAAGCAATTCAATGTGGCCGAGTTGACATCAAAAGTGCTCCATATGATACCATACAATTAAAAAGAGGCCCTTCATGGCTTGGCAAGGATTGTGCAGAATTTGGGCCACCATTGTTTTTGTCGTCGCATGGTGCCCAGATTCCACTTAGCAGCATATTGCCCCAGGTCCAACTAGAGGCAATTCTCTGGGGCCTTGGGACTGCACTTGGCGAACTTCCCCCATATTTTATTTCAAGAGCAGGTATAACTTGTCATGTTTTTTTTTGCATGGACACTTCAAATAAAGTGGTGTATCCGTTTTTGACACGCGTTGTGTCGTGTTAGATTAACACTCCCCGGACACTTTACTTTAGTCATTTTTCTTTCTTTGACACCATTAATACATGGTTTAACTCAAAATTTATCATAATACTACAAATAGGTACTCTCATTTAAAAGATTTCAACAAGAAAACTAACGAGTATAAAACCAAAGTTATACTGTCAATGAAGAATTTAAATTTAATCAATGCGTCAACGACTTGTTGTGTCGATAATTTTTGGAAAATCACGTCACTTGTCGGAAACACTTACCCATGTTGGTGCATCATAGGTTAGGTTTTTATAGTTCTCTATCTACAGCAGAGTTCTTTTGTAGCTTGGATATTTAGATGGAAAATGTATTTGTTATTATTGAGGATAGACTCTTCTTAGGATGTGTATACATATGAATACAAGAAATTGAGTTAACACTGGCAGAGATAGAGCGTAGGCAGGGGCCACAGTCAATCATGAAATCTTCTCACACTCTTGGTTGTACTTGATGTATGGTGAAATCTTTGGCTTCCTTTTAAGTTATAACTCATATTCTACACTATAGAGGTCTTTAATAATAATTAGCTTCAATTTAGTAATAAAAAGGTATTAGATGTTGGTGTATAACATACTTAATAACTTTATACCTGCTGCCTGCATCTGAACACTAAATTGATCGTGCGATCTTATATGAACTGAATGCATTGTAAATTTAATTTGTACAGGTTAGCTTCTTGTTATTTGTTTTACCGACAAGATACATCTTGAGAGCTTAAGGTCCTTAAACATATCTTGTTCTTTCTACAGCAAAGATTTCTGGTGGTAAAGTGAATGCCATTGAAGAAATTGATGCTTCCCCTGCCAAAGATAATGGATTCATATGTGCCCGTC